GGAGCTTACCTACAAATATTGGTAGGAACCATCTCTGGGATTTTCTTCTGCCAGGTAAGATTTGGCTTTTCTTCTTCTCTTTGTTGAGTCACCTTTCAGAGTGGATGTGCTTTACATGGGTTTATGAGTAAGCAGTCTCTGTACCAGCCTCCTTGTTCACGTTTTCTAGCAACTGCAGCTCCTACACCTCTGGGCTGACACACAGTAAAGGAATGTCTAAGGAGGCTTACTGCAAAGCAAAGGATTTTCCAGTGGGGAAGGACTTTCTTTTCATTGCCTGGAGTTTGAATGAGTGGTAACTCCCTGTCAGTGTCTCAGCCTGCTGTATGCATGCTCAGGGACAGATTCATCCTTGGACCTGACCATCAGGCACAGCCCCACGTACCAGCCCCTGGGAGGATGAGTGCTTCTGCCACCCAAGCTGTGTCACAGGTGGGTTATCATGTGTGCTTTTCATTAGATAGAAAGCAGACCCAGCACAGAGGGCTCCCACACCCTGGCCAGCTAAAGCCAGGAATCCAAGTACAGGTTGGAGCCCCAGCTGTGAGCCCTGATGACAGGCAGGGAGAAAGTGTGAATATGGCTAGCAGATGTCCTTCAGGCAGTGTGACCCGCCTGCACTTATCCATCATAGGTGTGAAGAAGCACAGCTGGAGTGCTGCAGTGGATGCCTATCAACTCTTCAGAAGGGATAGGCAAGGAAGGAGAGGCAATGGAGGAACTCTGTATGTTAGGGAGTGTTTTGATTTGTCTACAGCTTAATGATGGTAATGATAGGATTGAGTGTTTATGGGTGAGAATCAGAGGGAGGACCAGCAAGGCAGATATCACGGTGGGAGTCTGTTACAGACCACCTAACCAGGATGAAGAGGCAGATGAAATATCCCATAGGCAGCTGGGAGTAGTCCCACAATAGTCCCTCTCTTGGTCTTGTGGGGGACTTCAGCTTACCAGGTGTCTGCTGGAAATAGAATGTATCAGAGAGGAAACAGTCTAGGAGGTTCCTGGGGTGTGTGGAGGTAACTTCCTGACACAGTCAGTCAGTGAGCCAACTAGGGAGGGTACCCTGCTGGATCTCCTTTTTGTGATCAGAGAAGAACTTGTGAGTGATGTGATTGGAGGCCTTCTTGGGTATGGCTATCATAAAATGATAGAGTTTTCAATTCCCAAATAAGTAAGAAGGGAGTATAACAGAACTGCAACTTTAGACTACCAGAGGGCAAACTTTGGCCTGCTTAGGAAACTGGCTGACAGAGTCCCTTAGGAGGCAGACTTGAAAGGCAAGGGAGTCCAGGAAGGCTGGACATTCTTCAAGAACGAAATCTTAAAGACACAGGAGCAGGCAGTCCCCATATACTGAAGGACAAACCACTGGGGAAGAAGACTGGTCTGGCTGAAAAGAGACTTTTGGCTGGAACTCAGGGGAAAAAAAAGAGTTTATGACCTTCAGAAAAAGGGGTGGTCAACTCAGGAGGACTACGAGGATGTTCTGAGTTTATGAAGGGAGAAAATCAGAAGGGCCAAAGCCCAGCTAGAAATTAATCTGGCTACTGCTGTAAAAGACAATAAAAACTGTTCCTGTAAATACATTAGCAACAAAAGGGGTGGTAAGCAAAATCTCCATCTTTATTGGATGTGATGAGGAAACGGTAGAAGTACTTAATACCTTCTTTGCCTCCTCAGTCTTAGGCTGAGTTGTTCTCTGGGCTCTGTGACCCTGAGCTGGAAGATGGGGATGGGAAGCACAATGTAAGACCCCATAATCCAAGGGGAAATGGTTAGTAAGCTTTTATACCACTTAGGCACACACAGGTGCATGGGGCCAGATGGGATCCACCCAAGGGTACTGAAGGAGCTGGCAGAAGTGCTCACTGAGCCACTTTCCATCATTTATCAGCAGCCCTGGCTAACCAGGGAGGACCCCATTAACTGGAAGTTAGCAAATGTGACACCCATCTATGAGAAGGGCCAGGAGGAGGATTCAGGAACCTCCAGGGCCCTTCAGTCTGACCTCAGTGCCAGGGAAGGTTATGGAGCAGATCACCTTGAGTGCCATCACACAGCACATACAAGACAAAGAGGTGACCAGGCCCTGTCAGCACAGGTTTATGAAAGGCAGATCCTGCTTGACCAACTTGATCTCCTTCTATGACAAGGTGACCTGCTTAATGGATGAGGGAAAGGCTGTGGATGTTGCCTACCTAGCCTGTTGTAAAGTCTTTGACACACTATCATATCCTACAGCATTCTCCTAGAGAAACGAGCTGCTTATGGCTTAGTCAGGTGTACTGTTCACTGGCTTGATGGCCAGGCCCAAAGAGCTGTGGTGAATGGAATTAAATGCAGTTGGTGGTTGATCACAAGTTCCACAAGACTCAATGCTGGGGCTAGTTCTGCTTATTAATATCTTTATCAGTGATCTGGACTAGGGGATCCTACAACACCCTCAGTAAGTCTGCAGAAAAAGACCTGGGGATGCTGGTCAAAGGCCAACTTAGTATTAAGCCAGCTGGTGCTGAGACAGCCAAAAAGGCCAATGGCATCCTGGTCTGTATCAGCAATAGCATAGCCAGCAGGTCCAGGGCAGTAGTCATCCCCCTGTACTTGGCACTGGAGAGGCTACACCTCAAACACTGTGTTCCATTCTGGGCCCCTCACTACAAGAGAGACGTTGAGGTGCTGGAGCTTCTCCAGAGAAGGGCAATGAAGCTGGTGAAGAGTCTGGAGCACAAGTCTGATGAGGAACTGGGAACTGGGGTTGTTTAGTCTGGAGAAGAGAAGGCTCAGGGGGGACTAGAACAAGAGGAAATGGCCTCAAGTTGCACCAGGTGAGGTTTAGGTTTGATATTAGGAAAAAATTCTTCACCGAAAGGGTGATTGAACATTGGAACAGGCTGCCCAGGGAAGTGTTTGAGTGCCACGTGTAGATGTGGCACTTAGTGACATGGTTTAATGGTGGACTTGGCAGTGCTAGGTTAACGGTTAGACTCAATCTTAAAGATCTTTTCCAACTTAGACAATTCTATGATTATGTTTTGCTGGCATTCCTGCCGCATCTGGGAAGGAAAAGCTGACACAGGTTATCCTTCTTCAAGTTTCATGGCGCGGGCGAAAAATGTTATCCAAGATACAGCAAAAGCCTAAGGCTGTCACTATACCCGTCAGGAAGAGAGCATCCTTACCAGTCAGATATCTGCTTGAATAAAACAAAAGCTACTTCTGACCTCCTAAAGCAGTTGGCAGCATATTACAAATAATCCCAGTAGAACAACAGTGGTACAGAGTGGCATAAGGCAGGTTTGTGATTAGAGTGAAACGCTCTTATTTGCACTGGTTGCATGAAAAATGAAAGATTAAACTAATATTGCAGTGGGCTGTACCCACTGCTGTACCTGTACCACAGGGCACACTGCTCTGCTCTCTAGCTTGTGTTAACTTTCCCTCAGAGACATTGTCATGGCAACAGAACTGTTGCTCTGACGTATATGGTTGTAGATTGCTCTGGCCTTGAAAACTACTGACCTCCTTAAAGTTATGAGATAGGAACAATTTGGGATATATTAAAACTGGTAAAACTTGTGTGGTTATCAGTCCTGTGTTTCAGATATTTACCTTCTTCAATTCTTTTTTTTTTTCATACCAAGATTGCATAGCGTAGTAGCAATATGCAGAACATTTCAAACCTTAAATTAAAGGCTATTTATTTGATGTGCTTACACAGCAGCACGCCTTAGATGAGTGTCATGCCCATGCTCAGAAGTTTGAATTAGTTTCCTTACATGAGTGTTGTGAGGTACATGCTGTTATTCACCATTAAGCAAGTTCAGAAATGGGGCACAGGGAGATGATGTGATTTTCCCAAGACTGGAAGTGAGTCAGAAGCAGAGTAAGAATACGAGGGAAGTTTTCTGTGACAAGTACAAATAATTCTTATTTTTTATTGGGTTTGCTTTCCCTCCCTCCCTCCTTCCCCCAAATCTATATACTCATTAGTGTTGACAAGGAAATGCATTAGAGTCCCTGTCAGGGCAGTGCCAAATGCAAATATTTCTTATATGTAGTCAGTAACTCTTACTTATCTGACGTGATGGAGAGACCTCAGTCAAAATGTTTGTACCTCAGCCAATCTTTTTGCCTTGTCTGTGTATGAACAGAACCTGGGCAAGTATTTGCATGAACAAATCTTAGCATCTAGATATACTTCTGTTATTTTCACTTACTTTTCTGGCAGCACAAGTATCTACTGTGCAGACCCTTGGGAAGCCACGAAAACACATGTACATATATGTATATATATACACATATGCATGAAAACATATGTATTTTCTATTTACATAAGATTTGTGTCTGTAGACAAACATTAAAGAATAGGAACTTCTGGTTTCAGCCAGCAGTTCTATAAAACATAGTGCTGCTTAACAGTGAACACAGAAGCTGATTTCATAAATATTTTCAGATCTGATTTAGAGATTGAAATTAAGAACAAAGTACTGCAGTATGTAAGTAGAGATTTAAGAATTACTGATATTTTCTCTTCTCAAAGTACAGTATTTAGGTTTTCTTTACTTCTTTGTATTTACCTGCAAAGAAGAAAATTCACATTTTTCCTGTAACAATTGCCTACTCAGCCCTAAGGCTTTATGTAAAATGGTAAAGGGAACTAAACCCCTTTATTCTTGTGTAACTCATTATCTAACATCAGACGATTAGTGCTAAGGTTTCAACCTAAACCAGTTCAAGTCCCTCATTAACAGGGCTAGATTTCCTTTGATCTAATTACTTAATGTCCCAGATATATAGGAAGTTCAGAGATTAGCTCTGAGAAATCTCTGCAGACATCATCACATCTAGAAATGTGAACTTACATAGAGGCTCCAGAAATGTTGTTTAAAATGTTAACAAGACCCGTTTAGTCTGCTGGTAATGCTTGGTTAAATGTTCAATGAAATCACGCTGATGATAGCTAGAGAGTGAAGATGATGACTGCTTGCTGAGTATGATTTAATCTTCATTATTATAGGCAAGTGAATTGCAAATTTCCATAATTAAACATCCAGTGCACTTGTCAGATTCTGTTGTAAAGTTTGATAATTGCTGTTGTAGGGAAAACAGTACAGCAGGGTGTTGTTGCCACATGATGAGCTTTTGAGGCTGAGCTATTAGGATGCCCTTTTACAATGTTCTCCATGTTTTCTGCTTTAGAGGCAAGGGATATCATCATGGAGATTTCATCAAAAGAAAATACTCAGATTTTCTCAAACACAATCCTGCTTGTTGACCGATCTTCATTCAAATCTGAATCTTCTGCATCCAAGGAAAAACAGTCGTATTGTGGAGGTATAAAGGTAGAGTAAGAGGTTTTGACTATTCCAGTAGGGACTTAGAAAGCCTCTTTTTTTTTTTTTCCTTTTTTTTTTTTTTTCTGTGAACTATCCCTTTTTCCCTTCTGATTATGTCTTGCTGAGTCACTATGAAATTATTAAATATTTTTCTAAGTCTCAAAAGTCTGCTTCAGATCTTCATTTGCCTAGCATTTGGCAATGTTCAAATATAACATGGTGGTTGAGGCTTGTGTGTTATGAGATCTTCAAGGATATTCCTGAAAGGTCATTATATCCTCCTTACTGCACCACCCTATTTTCCTGACCTTAAGAACAGAGCATTGGCAGACACGTATTACAGGTAGCTGTTAACACAGATTGCTTTTTTAAGCTTGTAGACATGGTAGCCTTCTGGGCTCTAAAAATTAATACTTTTGTTATGGTCTGCATGTTTTGAGCACTCTGTTATTAAAGTATTATTATAATATTCCTGATTTGAAAGAATTCTCCTTGAGGTGTCTTTGAAACAAATCTGCAGAAGTATCACCACTGTGTCTGTACTTGTCTCACCCATGAGAAGTACTTCCTTGAGCCTCGTAATGGAGCTGTACCTACCTGAGTAGGACCACTGCACCTTGAAGGAGCATTCCTCCCTGTATGGGAGGCTTCAGGTACAGGAGGCAGCATGATGCTTTACCTATTGTCTCTACCTGCTTTCCAAAGCCGGGCTGTAAAGTGCTGACACTCTCTTGGGTGAGGTCTCAGTAGATTATCAGAGAATGGTAAGGTGAGATGACTTGAGTTGATATAAAATGAGTCTTTGACCTTGCCCAGTTCTTTTCATCTTGCAGTCTTCATTTCATTTGTTTTTTTCTCTCTCACGCACTCACATACACATACTTACTTTTGATATTCATCCAGCTCCCAATACGGTGAATTACTTCAGCAGTAGTTGACTTGAAGTCTATAAATAATGCAAAGCAGTGAGGATACAGTGGGATTAATTGAGTCTGATGACTGCTGTAAAATTTTTTTGATTCCTGAATATTCTCCTTGTTTTTGTCTAATCCTGTAAAGGCCCAGAAATGAGGTCCCTAGATATCAGCCTTATTATATGTTAAAATTTCCTTTATTAACCAGAAAGATGTGGTGAAATATTCAATTACAGTCACTGTCAAACCAAAAAAATAATGTGAAATCATGTGCTCCTTTCAGTCCCAACTCTAAATGAGGAACACTTTTCCACAGCTGTACAGTCTCCATCTCCCTCCTGGGACAGCTGCAAAGCCAGAAGGAAAACTTGTGTCAAAGAGAGACTGAGATGGTTGAAGTTCTAGTTTGACCTACATGATTCTCCTGTGAAAAATTATATTTGCTTTCACATTGTTATTTAAAATCCAAGGGCATAAACACACAGAAAATGTAAAATATCATGGTGATGTTTCTATTAGAGAGCTCTTTGAGAGACCTCACTGGAAGAAATAAGAATCAGATACTCTTTATTTACCCACAAGTTTTTCTGAAGGAGGAATAACCAACACTGGATAAAGTAGTCGGTCGAATGTGACACAGAGATACATTTGAACCTTGACACAAAAATTTGCTTTCAACAGTGCCTGCCAGTGTTATTGCCTATGTGCCTTGTCAAATGAGGTGTTGTAAGGGGTATTACATGGGAGGCACCTCTTTAGAGCACCTGCTTACTGGAAAGTATGATTGCTTAGAGGGAAGGCCTAAGGAGTAGGACAAGGATCTAGGCCTTTCTTAATATGAAATATTACTGTGTCTTTTAATTTCTGGTTTAGGGTATGGGGTTGTTTTTTTTTAACTTTTTACAAAAAGCATCCCTAGATATTCAGCCAATACAATCTGTATCTGAAGGTAAAAAAGCAATGTTGTGATTTTCATGACCAATTGCACAGCTGAGTATCTCTGGAGCTTATAAACTCAGAAAGGCTGCATTTGGTGATGGCAAATTTAGGCAATAGCTCTGCAGGACCTTGCACTCCCACTGTATGCATTTCAGCTCTAGTCTTGTCCCAGAAACTGAAGAGCCATTAATTGTTAAAGTGAACATAATGCCCTTCTGGAACACATCTTCCAGTTTTCTTTGTGTAAAAGGGATTCAGTCTGCGAATTTGCAGTATGACCAAAGCACAGCGAAGGGACTGGGGAGTTTCATTTCCAAAGCCCACTCCTGATTCAGACTAACACATAAACGCCTCTGCAAAATAAAAGGATGAGTGAAGGTTCTCTCCCAGAAAAATGCAGTGGGCACTCAAAAGAAAATGTACATATTAGAGCTTGCAAGAGATCTGGTGGGGAAAGGATGAGCCTAAAAGAGAATTTCTTGGCAGGTCATTGGTCAGCTCGTGGACTCATGTAACAGGAGGCAGTGACTTCTCCCTCCTGGTCACCCTGGGCTTCAGTGGGAACAGCTTACCAGAGCAGGACTCTAAAATCCAGCTGATTGCAAAAGCCTGTATTAAAAAATGCCAGAAAATGCCACCTCTCCACTGAGCTGCACTTAACATGTACCCTATTGTTACTGTGTAAGATACCCCCTCCTGAAAGATATAAGGTGGGTGTTATATGTCTGTCCTTCAAAGCAACAGTACTTTTGACATCTACCTGAAATACACAGTGGCTGACAGCAAGTTCAGTTTATATCACCATTGCTTGTAAGAACTGGCCAAAATAGTAATCTAATATTCTTAAAAAGCAGGAGAAATATTGATGTGGTTAGTTGGGAAAAGAAGAGTTGGGATTGTAAAACTTGTTTAAAAATAATTCATAAAGTAAAGCTTTCTGTACTGCCTGATTTTAATCACTGTCAATTTCTTTCACAGGTATTCCTTGGAGCATTGTCTTTTGTTTACTTTGCTAAAGCACTGTCAGGAAGTTATCTAAAAAGTACTATAACACAAATAGAAAGAAGATTTGATATCCCTTCTTCTTTGGTTGGCGTTATTGATGGTGGTTTTGAAATTGGTATGAGCTGTGCAACATATTTTTATTTTCAGAAAAGAAAGAGTGATGAAATTTGTTATGAAAAATAATTGTACAAATCTCCTTGAACCATTAAAACTGAGCAAGATTCACCTAGTAAAGATCAGCATGACTGCCAATATGATTATTTTGGATAGGATAGGGTTGCTTATACAAGCAATAGTTCAACATACTTATAACTATTTTATATTGTGATAAGCCTATGTCTGGCAAATAACACTAGTAGAAATTTGGGCTGTTGAATAAGAATTTACCTGCACAGATTCCCAGTTTCTCTCACATTTTGTCAGAAATCCACCTCACCCACAAGTGTTTGCCCTTCTTGATTTATTAAGGAGGAAGGGTACAAACAACTAACTGTAATCTGTTATTGTCCAGTCCATCCCTTTTCTTCTTGCACTAATGTTTCCAGAATGACATTGTTTCTTACAATTTCAGTTTACTTAATTTTTCTCATGGGTACACAGTGGACTGTGGTATTCACAGGAATTAATGTTAGCCTAAGTGTATAAAGTTCTGTTCGAGCCCCTCTTTTCCTGTTTTCCTGGCTATCTATTCTTTTCAGCTGGCATAGTCCTCCTCATTTCTACCTGATTATCCAAAAGTTTATGGTTTTCTTCTCATGGAAGGCATTGGACTCTTGTAAGAAATCCTGGAAAGAGGGAGAAACACCAATCTCATGCAATCAGTCCTCTCCCCTGAGATCACTGCCTATACCATTCACTAGGAATTGTTATTTTAGGGAATCTCCTACCAACAAACCGTAAAACTGTTTTCCTTTTGTACTCTCAAAGGGAACCTCCTAATCATAATTCTTGTAAGCTACTTTGGAGCGAAGCTTCACAGGCCAAGAATAATTGGAGCAGGCTGCTTAATTATGTCAGCTGGAACATTCCTAATTGCGATGCCCCAGTTCTTCATGGGACGGTAAGTGCAGTGATTGGTATTTTCTGGCTGGGCTATGCACATTGAATGTTAGGTCACTAAAATATTTAGTCATTGACTGTAAAGATGTCCATAGAAATAGGCATATGTGTATGTGGTTATGCAACATTTTTTTTTGTGAAAACACTAATTACTGTACAGCAAATAATTTAACATATGTGCTCAGCTGTAATTGCATAATCATTTTATTCGTCTCTGATCTTGATTGGCCACACTTTGACACAGTTTAAGAACTGTTGAGACTTCAGTGATGAAGTGATGACTAAACTCAGGAAGACAATCTGAGTTTCAAACACAAGCCAGAGGATACAGCCACTGTCTGGTAATCTCTCAGTACGGATTCATGCATCATAGTGGACCAAAGTGCCTGTTGAACGGAAATGCATCACTGTGACACAAAGAGAACCAAAGGAACAATTTTTGTGTACTAACACAATATAAACTGAGTTCCATTTATTGTCTGTAAACCATCATTGTCAACACTGGATGCAGATGAAATTTTCATTTAAGTGCCTATCTTCCATGGTCATAACACATCTGTTTGCTTTTTCTCATAAATTGGGACAGTAAAAAACAACTCTGGTTTATAAACAGATATGAGTATGAAAGATTCCCTTCCACCATCAATTCGACTGTTGGCATCTCTCCATGTCTGCAGGATAAAACCCGAACTCTGCTCCCTGCCTTGGAAAAACCTCAAGCAAAAATAAATGCAGGTGAGAATGATCTGTGTCAAATATCATGATAAGCATACTAGAATGTATCAAAAGGCTCACAAACTCTCATGCAATAGTTTATTTGAACACCAAAAAAAAGAAAAAGGAACAAGATGAATCTTTTCCACAGAAAATCCAGATCTAGTGGTTGAGGCAAATTATTAAAAAATAAATATATAACTGCCACTGACCACTGCCAAGAGTTGTTTTTTTTTCTCAGGCTGCAGCCTTTCCTCCAGCCTTGCTGTCTCCTCCAGCAATTTTCTGCAGCTTTGTGGCTTGCAGAAACACCAATCTCCCATGGCGACCTTGGAAAGTCATGGTTTTTCCTCTGCCAGGAAATATGCCTTTAGATCCTCAACCCACTGGAAAGAGCTGCTTGGGTCTCACAACCTGCAAATCCCACTTCTTGTTTCTCTCCCTGCCCATGACCCCTTTTTGCACACCACAAAGCTGTCTACCCTCTGCGTGCTTTGAGCTCCTCATGGGCAAGGAGCCTATCATCTTCAATGTTTCCCAAATATTTCCATTAGGAGATTCCAGTTCTGGTTAGAAAGAAATGAACAAGGTTTCTAAAGTGGGGTGTGATGATTAATTTGTAAAATTAGCCAACTTCTAGTATCTTTGAATGGAGCAGTTCATGCTAAAAGTGTGTCTTCCTCAAGCTGATTGGGTTAAAGTTGCCATCCATACACCTCACAAAACATTTTTCACAGTTTTCATACTGGTTTTCCCACATTAGACGTATCTTAGAAGTCCTGTGCATTCAGTGTCACACTGTTAAGAAAACCAAATCATTTTGTCTCTCTTGTGATATACCCAGGATGTGAAAAAGAAGGAGGCTCTTCCATGTGGATCTATGTTTTACTGGGAAATCTTTTGCGTGGAATAGGTGAAACGCCTATCCAGCCTTTGGGAATTGCATACATTGATGACTACACCATTGAAGAAAATGCTGCCTTATACATTGGTAAAATAATTTTTTTTTTCCGAATGGATTTTTCACCAGAGGAACCTGAGTCATTCTGAATAATGGAATGAGTGTGACTGAATTAACTTGCCCTGATTGTTTGGTTTACATAATTTCCAATATTCACGTTTATTTAACAGTCTCGTACACTCAAGGGACCAAGTTCCCCTTTGTACCAGCACAGTTCAATTATCTTAATTTGAGGAAAGAACTTGACCCTAGGCTCCTGCTGTTACCCTAATCTTCCTAATTCTTCTAGAGCTGGACTGCTGAGCCTCTGCACATTCAGGTCTCTGGAAAATGATAAAAAACCTGTACTTTTAAGCACTTAAAATAGCCTTTTGGCAGGCACTCAAAACATTCCCTCCAGCTTCAGGTAGGATTATAAACAATAACGCTTTAAATACCGGGGCTTTAAAAAGTTGGTATTGCTGTTTTTTTGTTGTGTTCATTGTCTGAAGACCTCTGCACATTTGTGTGAAATATTATCAAGAACTCCTTCCCCATCAGCATCTTTTCTTGACAAGTTTGCAGCAAAAGGCAAAATCTCAGGTCCTCTTTGTAGAAGTTTCAATCTTCCTGGATCTCCAGATCAATTTTGAAAGTTCAGAATAGTCAGAAGGTTTGGCTGAATGTGTACTGAAACGTGTTAATATTGGGTACCAAAGCAAAGGGGTTTTTTTGAGCCTGTTCAGGGCCCACCGTCACTTAAAATGATCAGTAACTTAAATAACTGTCATTTGCTTTCTGGTTACTTTAATCTAGTCAGCAAAAGTGTTTCTAGCAATTCTAGATTGGTGATGATAATTAGTTAGGCCATTAAGTTCCCTGACTTATTTTTTAATTTGGCCTGAATTTCATTCTTTAATTGGATGACAACAAAAAATGAAGTGTCAGTGTAGTGGGGGAAATTTTATTGTTGGCCTTTTCTTGTTGAAAAACTGATATAACTAATGTGTCAGAGAGCAAAGGGTTGGCTCAGTATTTTAAGACTATCACTTGTTAGACATGACACATCATACTTTACTGTTAGGTGCAGCAAGACCTAGTGCTTTTTTTAACCCAGGTGTGTAACAGCCCCCATTTTCTATTGCAGGCTGCGTACAGACAGTTGCAATTATAGGGCCAATATTTGGCTTTCTTCTAGGATCCCTGTGTGCCAAACTTTATGTTGACATTGGCTTTGTAGATCTGGGTAAGTCATAAAACTGGTTTTAAAAATTCAGTCAGACTCCAAAATAACTGTTTTAGGCCAAGAACTATCGAATTATCTTCCAGGCTTAAGGGACTAGCAGAGATGGAGCAGGCACTTAATGAAATAACAGCAATGCAATGCCCCACACAGAAAAGGCTAGCAAGAAAAATGGATGTGGAGGAAGTAGGAGGCCTGATGCTTCCTCGGTCCCAGCAGATCTGCAGCTGGTGCCCCCCAGGAGATGCCCTGGTGAGGAGTCTCTGGGGGACAGCAGGAACCATAGAATCGTAGGGTCAGCTGGGCTGGAAAACACCTTTAAGATCATCAAGTCCAATCATTACCCCAGGACTGCCAAGTCCACCACTAAACCACGTCACCAGGCCAGACAGGCTCAGGATCCTGCTGAGAGCTGTATGCACATTTTGTAGGAGTGTCATTGCCTAGAAAAGCAGTCTTGCAATGAGTACCAGGACTCCTGATTGCCCTCGTTGTGAGAAAACTTCCACCCTATTTTTCTCTGGCACTTTCGTGCAGAACAGCTTGGCTGGGAGCAAGTGTGTGGCCACCTGAACTACTTCATGTAGACCCTTGCAGCCTCTCTGGGGACATGTGAGTGTTACAGCTGGGGACCTTATTGTGTCAGGGGAAAGCTACTACTGTGTCACAGGAATCAGCAAGTCCTTATTGCCTTCCCACAGTTGCTCCTTTAACACTGATAGACACACAGCACAGCTAAACCTGGCAAGGTGGGGGTGGACTCCTCTGGAGTAAGTCCCTTCAAAATCACTTTCCTTGGTATCAGCAAACAATCTCCAAAAACTTTTATATGTTTTTCCTTTTTTGTCTTTCCCTAGACAGTGTAACAATAACACACAAGGATGTGCAGTGGGTGGGAGCCTGGTGGCTGGGCTACTTAATAGCAGGTATGATTAGTGTTCTAGCTGGCATCCCTTTCTGGTTCCTACCCAAGCACCTCCCGAAACCAGAGGGCAGGAAGGACTCCAGTAGCTCTTCTGAGCAGTCAGAGTTCATCACTGAGGACAACAAGGACCATCGAAAATCTTATCAGCAGCAAGTGAAGTTTGCTGAGATGGCAGAAGGCAAGTAACTAGAGTTTATTTCTTGACTGTGGAGTCTTTCCCTCACTAGATTTGTACTTTAAAACCTTATACTTTCTGAGGCCATATTTTAATGACCTCAGAAATACTATTTTTCTTCAGGTGTCACTCTCCATCTAACTAGAATGCACAAAAACGGTCTTTTCATTGCTCATTGTGGGACCTGCTCTTGCATACAGAATTTCTCCAGATGAGATTTGTAAAATTACATTAGTGGTGCAGCAAATACCATGAAACTCTGCAAAAAAACTTTTCATTTACAGATATTGACTGTTGCAGAAGTGGGGCTCAAAAATATCTCAGGTTTTGCTAAACCTTTTTCTTTAAGATCATTCATTAGAAAAGCACATATGCAATATCTGATCAGAATAAAGATGGTCACAGACTAGATAGAGTATTTAGGAAGCTATCTGGATTTAGATACAAGCTGTTTTGCATAATTGTGTTTCTTTGGCCCTACTTTACCAAAAGTATTTTCCCTCAGTGCTTGAATCTGTAGCTCAGTATGTATGCGCTTAGTGTCAGCTGTGCTGAGAACTCTCTGCCCCAGGATTATGCTAAAAAATGTTGAGGACACGTAGAAAACAAATCAGCCCTGGTTTATCATAGAATTATAGGTTACCAGGTTGGGAAGGACCTCAAGGATCATTGGATTAAACCAGATCAAAAGAAGATACATAGAACAAGGTATGTCTTCCAGGATATTGATGCTTAGTATTTTGCTCTGCTGTTCCCCCATCCAGAAATGGAGGAGCTCTTAGGAGCATCATGGAACTTCACAGATTTCCTCTGAAATGTTCTACAGTCCTTCTTTGAAAGGTGCAAACATGTTGCAAAGCAATATTCACAGCAGTTGCTCTTTCTCCGGCCTAGCTGTAATTTCTGCTGTTTTGTTTTGCAGACTTCTTGCCATCACTGAAGAACCTCTTTGGGAATCCAGTTTACATTCTGTATTTGTGTGCAAGTATCATTCAGTTCAATTCTTTAATTGGCATGGTGACATATAAGCCAAAGTACATTGAACAGCAGTATGCACAAACGTCGTCAAAAACTAATTTTGTTATAGGTAATGCTATATCTGCTTCTTGGTGTCTTAAAAATGGACATTTTAGGAATGGCATATATATATATGTAAGAAAAATTGAGGTTTTTTTTAGGATTTGTTTATTTCTTCTCCTTCCTTACCTGGCTTTGAGTAATAGCTCATAGAAAGCAAGTTATTTCATTTCTGCTTTAGCACTAGTTAGCTCTGAGTTTATCTATGCAAGATTATATGATTTGATGCCTTATTTCCTATCTTACTGGAAATTTGAAAAATAATGTATGTACAGCACAAAAGAATAATTGAAAAGATAATTAGTTTTAAATATCAGCTCAGTGGTAAAGGATGGATCATAAAGTAGCTGTGGTATTGCCAGTGGTTTCTTACTTTCTGAAGAGGTTGGTGTTAAGTAAAACGAAGTCAAATTCTTACCAGTGATCACACAATACATGCATTAAAACCCAAACATTATCTCAGTGAGATTCTGGTGAAGGAAAAATAGGTATTTCTGCCCTAACTTTACCTAAGAGCCTTTCTCTGTCGTGAAGTTTGCCTCCCAAGCTCTCCCATAGAGACTGCTTCTGACTTTTGGTACCAATGTGGCCACTTTTGTAGATGTGTTCAGGATGGTGAACTTGACTGCTTAGTTGCTTAACCTGCATGCAGACTTGGGCTCAGTTTCTGAGGTCCAGGGATTCAATAGCATTAGACAGCAAAGAGGTTTACATCTGTCCAATACAGAGGGAATTGCCTTGATTTAGAGCAGCATTAGTTGCACAGCAACTAATATACATATGCAGAAAAGCTGTATGGATTCTTTGTGCTATGTTAATTCCTTAAAGACAAAAGCTGGAATTTCCTGGCACAAAACTCCTCAAAGCAAGGAGAAATCTTCAAGCATAGTCAATGGCCAAAGGAAATCCAGAAAACAATTCCTATATTCAGTATAGTGCTTCTCGTTGTACTTAAAGATTTTCTGGAGCTAAACTTTCAGGTATGTGCAAATTGAGTGAGGGTTAAGATCCATCCAATTTCAGAAAGAACAAGGACTATATCCAATAGAGGATGTGAGATGGCTTGGCTAGGGAAGGGCCCTGGCTGAATCGTTTTCTTTCTCCCCAAATCCACCCTTGCTAAGAAAGCTGGGGCTGACTAGAACTAACAGTGTGTATTTCCCATTCCCTACCTCTTTTCCTATTTTTCTTTTTTTTTTTTTAACAATTTCTAGCACAATCTTGTTGATAAAGAGCAGAATTGTCAGAGAAATTTGAAGCACTATTAAAAAAATCAGTGGAGGTCATAAGAGGGTATTTTTCAACAGTCACAACTCAAGGAACGTTCAAGAAAGTAAAATGGCTCCTGTGTCTGTATGATTTTCCCTAAATATACACACTTCCCCTCACCTTCCAACCCTTATGCCAGTGTCAGGCAATGGAGTTATCTGTAAGGCTGTGAAACAAAGGCATGAACAAAAGTGATACAAAAAATCGTAGAACAGTTTGGGTTGGAAGATCATGTAGTCCAAACCCCTGCAATGAGCAGGACAGTAATGGGCAGGCAGAGTGTGGGTACTCTCTAGTGCATCACACAGTTCCCAGTTCCAATCCCTCTCCTGTTTTACAAACAAAAAGGAAACTTGTTATATGGTGACTCTTAATTTACATATGCTACATTTCAGATGCTGCTTCTAAATCCCCTGAAGTACGGTTTTCACGTATGTGTACAGTGAAAAGTGCCACCCTTGTGAAGCTCCCTGAACCTCATCATTAACAGAACTGGTCTCATGCAGTTAGCCAAGATACGACTCTTGAGTTTGCCAAATGCAATTAGTTTTTTTCTAACATCAAACACACCTGCTAACATCTCTTCTAACAGCTATTTTTCAACATGCGTACAAGTGAATCAAACACTGGCTCAAAACATATCACAGTGCACTTCTAGTAGGCAGATTAGACTCTAATGTCATAGGCTAGTGTTTTGTACTAAGGCATTTGAAATCATGTTGTAATACTTCCAGTCCCCTGAACAAACTTCTGAAATTTCCTCTGCTGCTGCATCTATGCTTTGGTACTCAGCATGACTAGGTGTCAGCACTATTTAAAAACTGCAGACCACATACACAGCCCTACACAAGGGGAAATATGACATGCTGGAAGCAGCTGGTAAAGCTGGGAAGAACATTTTCAGTTCAAGGAAATCCAGAAGACAACACCTTGCTTGTCTGAGTGGTATCATTTACAGTGGTCTCTGTTTACATCTTTTTTGCAAGTAGTGAATGAGATTTTTCTTGTTCTATTGTCCATGTCTATCAATATGGACACTGCTTTAAGCAAAGCTGTCCAGGTAAAGAAGGCTTAATGATCACCCAGTCTTACATGTTTCCTTCAATATTTTTTCACTTGATTGCCTGAACCCTGGTACAACAGTATCCATGGTTGTATATCTATCTTTCTGCTGTTGCAACATTCACCTAAGGGAGCATTTCAACAACCAAAACCAGAGAAATTCTCTAACTCTCCTGGGCATGGAGGCAATGACATATCACTGCCCTCTTCTCCCTCTTAAAGACTTCTCTAGGGGATTATTGGTTTCATGGCTGAATCAAAACAGAAAAAGCAGGTCTTGCTCCAGATTTGATAACACTGTAGGTAAAACTGAATTTGCCCTCCAGCAATGAAGAGTTCAGGCTCCTCATGTCAGCAGAAAAGGAAAAGAGCTGCCATGGAAAAATGGAGTGGGGCAGCCCCAGAACATGGCCCCTATTGCTCGTATTGCTGTATGAGTAAAGGACACATGTAAGGTCTATAGCAAAGTCTCAAAACTGTGTAGTAGGACTGTGGCTGTCTTGGCTGCCCTAAGCAGCACAATACCCCAGTAACTTCTCTGTGCCCAGGGCACATCTTGTGAGAAATAACACCAAAAGTATCTGAATTAACACTGCATTGATCCCTCCATTGACAAGCTAACAATGGAGAAAACTACCTAGTTTAAGAAACTGGAAGATCATTACCTAAACCTTATACACAATCTCTCTTTCAAAGAACTAGAAAACAAACATTTCTCTGGGAGCAAGTTTTGACAAGCAGTTCCAATACCTTCTTATGAACAATTCAAGTCTGGACACATAAAATGTCCCACCTTTCATATTTTGTTGTTTAATCTTATTGCTGCTGCTGCTGTTTTTGTGGCTGAGGAGGATAGTCCACTGAGCCGTGGTTTTCATCAATGCAGATTTTACTGTTTAATTTCAGGTCTCATCAACATTCCTGCTGTGGCCTTTGGCATATTCTCTGGAGGACTGATCATGAAAAAATTCAGAATCAGTGTTTTAGGGGCTACAAAACTCTCCCTGGGATCATCTTTCTTTGGTTACCTTTTGCTCCTGTCATTATTTGCAATGGGATGCGAGAACTCGGATGTGGCTGGACTGACTGTGTCGTACCATGGGTATGCTGAGAAAGACAGGCTTCCCCATAAAGTGTTATTGCAAACCCAACCCCTTCCTCATTTTATTCCACAAGTGTATATTGTTGAAAAGAGAATGCTCCGTGTATTCCAGTGGGCATTGTGTCAGAACTCTTTCGTAATTGTTGCCTTTAGCCCAGAGGGGTTTATGCCGCAAGCACAGATTATTTTTCTGATTACTTTTTAATTGTTATTGCCATGGGACCATCCTTTTAGCCTAGAGATTTCTGGAAATGTGAAGAACTCAGTAGGATGAGACTGAATCTCAGAGTGAGATACAATTAATTGTTTCTTGTCTCTGTGCTGCTGAACAACCTGTGGCATTTTATAGCCTTTGAACCCAAAACTTAAGGATTCATTGATTACCATGAATTAACCATGATGTTAACTGTAAGGCATACCTGAGGTTAATACTTTTTGGTCACTTTTACCTGTGCTATTTCTCAGTAAAGCTCACTTTTGGAGAGGAGTTTCCAACACTGACTCCACAGTGGCCCCAGGATCTGCTCCACTGGTGACTTCAGCAGCAGCTGGCTGAAGTCGATAGATAGCTGTTAGGCAACGTATCAGATCTTCAGTTTGGATTAATCCAATTCTGGTTATTTCCTAAATAACTTCTACAGCGACTGTTTCCCTGAGTAACTCACTCCACGCTTTGCCACTGGAATAAGCAAACCTTTTTGTCCAGTTTTGTTAAAACTGCATCAAGCCTCTGATAACTAAAATCTTAGAAAATCTGTGAAAATGCATGAATAAAAATTGTTAGCTGTTGCCATTAATAAGGTAGCTACTATATCACAGTAGGTGTGATATTGTGAAAGCCTTTTTATAACAAAGAAATAAGAATTTACGTTACTGTATGGGTGTGAAGAGGCAACACCTTAATGGACCGTAGACAGAAGATCTGGCCAGGTGTGCCTGGCAGAGAGCATAACCCATGATTTGATCGTGATTTCTTCCGTATCTGCTAGAAACATCTTTGCAATTTCTCTTTTTCCCCAGGGCTAAACAAATGACTGATTATGAGCAAGCCCTGTACTCAGAGTGCAACTCGGGCTGCGCATGTTCCAAGAACGACTGGGACCCCATTTGTGGGGAAAATGGAGTTACCTACGTTTCTGCTTGTCTTGCTGGCTGCCAGGCATCCAATGGCAGTGGGAAACATACGGTAAGACAAACTCTCCTTCCATATGTGATGTGGTAGTTTTCCTAATACAACCAGTTTAATCATAGTGGATTAAATTGAGTAGGACACGTTGTTTTCAGCCTTAAATTCCTCAGTTTTTTTTGGCAATCTGCCACCCACATTTAAAACTTTCTTAACTGGTGTTCCCAGCAAAAATCCCAAGAAGATAATTTAGGAGGTTTGGTTTAGTTTTTAGCTGTTAGCTACCTAAACTATTTATATACCACTAAATACATTTGTCAACAGTAGATGCTTTCTTCATAAATGTCTCCTTCAATGAACAAGTCTTTTCCTGTTGCAAAACGTTTTCCAGTTTGGATTTAAACTTTTGGCTGCTCAGAAAAGCATGATGTGTAATTCCTGAACATCCACTCCTCTGCTGTTTGGGTTACCATGCATACTTGCCTGCTGTCTTCCAGGTATTTTTTAACTGCAGCTGTGTGGGAACCTTGGAATCACCTTCACAAAGTTCCTCAGCTGTGGTGGGACCATGTCAAAAAGGAAATGAGTGTCCAAAAATGTTTCTGTATTTTCTAGTAATATCAGTTATCACTTCATATACTTTGTCAGTAGGTGGCACACCTGGATACATACTGCTTCTAAGGTAAGACCTCACTTCTGCCAGCATTGCCAAATGTTTTCAAGGTGCTTTTAAATGTGTGACTTGGTTTCCTTCCTCCCCTAGTGCTGTGAAATATTTTGAGCTACACAAGGTGGCTTTTAAAATATTCTTTACTATTGAAAAATATCCTCATACTTTGACAATGAATTTTCTACCATTGAAGCAACAATGTGCTTATGATTACCTCTACCAGCAATGCCTTTCTGGGTTTAAACATGATATAGGAGGCCTGGTTATCATTTATATCAAATTCCACTTCTCTTGATGCCTTTTACATTACCAGAATGCTGTTAAGCAGCCTCCATGGAAATAGAAATTAGCTCTGCCATCCTGTGCACATATATGCTTATAAGCAGCCAGTTTTCCTCATTTGCTGTGAATAGCAGTGCACAGTTATACAGAGGTGATCTAACCCAAGCCTTCTATATACACTCAACTCGTCTCTTCTGCCCCATTTTATTATTCCATATAATTGTTCTGTCCCAGATGTCTCTCTTCAAAACAAAGATAGATGTAGCATGAGATTTTTTTTCTTTTCTTTGTAATAATCACAGGTTTATTAAATGCTTGTCCCAAGGAATTTTTCCAATATGTATTTAACTGCTGGAAGTATTTGTCCAGCACCAAGTGGAAGCTTTGAAACTAATTTTAGAAAGTGAAAAAGGAATTTAATACTTCCAGTGATTAGTCTGGATTTCTGTCAGCTTCTTGCAATTTTTGGACTCTAAGTGCTGCTCCGCTTTGTTTTGGAAAGCTTCCTTTCTCAGTTTCTCTTTCCAAATTATTTCCAGATGGGTACATTCTACTTCTCAAACAAAACAACAGTAAATACAGCTTATCTAATCTTTATTATTATTGAGTTTTCTTACCCAAAAATTCTCTTCGTTTCCAAATGAAGTTTTATGAAACAGGCCCCATGTCATTGCCAGTGTCTTTATGTCGCATGGAAAAAGCCAGTGCTAGAACTAGCTGATTATAGGCTACATGGAAAAACCTAAATGAAGATATGTAACTTCAGCTATGGTTCCAGCACAGTACTTGAGTCAGAATAGTTGTCACATAGAGACTTTAGAAATGGTTGAGGTGAGGATCATTTTTCACTGCCCTCCACAAACACTGCCAGTGAGGTATATGCCTCAAAATATATAAGCTGCATAACTTTCTGCACCCACCTTGTAGGGTTATCATTGAGTACTGAAAAAACACATGGCATCTCTCTCTCTCCTGAATACAATATAAACAATCATGTTATAATCCATTTTAGACAATTTTTACTAAATCTTATACATCTCTGAAACCGTCCATACACCAATAAGAGGGTGATTCAAAACCTGAAAACTTGTAGCAAAGCCTTCAGGATTTCCACAAGTTGCTCTCTGTGATGGCTTCTGACACAAGGGGGACTTTTTGTTGTATAAACATGGCCATAGGGCTATACAGGTATGAAGTTTCGTTCCCTTTCACCCTCCACATGATGTCCCCTTTCTATGCATAAAACATGGTAGAAAATGTACTGACATAATACTACACAGGGCCTCAAAACCATCATCGCCATGCTTCTGCTTTCCATTTTGTCTCCACATCAGAAGTGTCTGAGAGGAGACATTCATAGTTGAACACCTATGAGCTTAAATCACTTAGTTACCCACACTTATCAACCCTAAGAACTTGCTCTCAAGGGACTTAATTCTTAATGGATTTATTTAGAAAAGCTTAGAGAGGTTTTCAGTAACAATACAAGAACATTTTGTTATATGAAATCAGCAAAACAGCTTTATGGGTTCTCCTCCAGAGCTTTTATTTCTGTTTAAAATCATGCTGCTTTGAGAGCAATTTAACTGAAACTGAGAAGTTATGTGTTTTTCTGCTGGATTGAAGGCACCCAAATCTGATGTGCAGCTGAATAATGCATGTTTCAGTAAGTTCAGATGAAAAACCTATGGGCACAAGTCCACCTTAAGCTCACACTTGCTTTTCTGAAATCCATCACTAACTGACTTTCCCTGAAAACCCACTTGAACCGAAAATATGCTTCTGTTCCCAGAAAGAAAAAAAAATTCTCTTTGAAAACAAACAGGCCCAAGGTCAAGTTGCAGACTTCATTAAGTATTTTTTTCAATGATCTATTTTTTAAATTAGTCAGTATTTACTCAGCTCCGATAAGATTCCAGCACTTAAACAAGCTTATGTTTTCAGTTGGGCAGATATCATTGCACCTGCCATGAAGCACAAATAAAGCTAAATCCCTAAAAGCCTATAAGATTTAGTGACATTTACTTCAAGGGTTTACATGACTGAATTAACTGAAATATGTTTGTAGCTAGTGACCAAGTCATTTACTGAAACGTCTTTTTAGTGACATTAGACTAATTAAAATTGCCAAGAAACTTAGGAAAGCCGTTCTGTTTTGGAGAAAAACCCTGCAATTCAGGTAGCTGTTGTTCAAGTACACGCTATTAATAGCAGGTGGTTAGGCAGTGAAAAGGAAGTCTCAGATCTCCCTGGGATGTTTGGCTTTCTCTCAGGATCTCAGAGAACACGTGTTTCAATGCAAAGACAATAAAAATGGTCAAATTCTTCTTTCCATATGAAAGAGAAGATTTTATTATTTCTAGGATATGAATCCTATGGAACACACAACAAATCTCAAAATATCCAAACTCTGGTAAATATTGGTTTTGTTTTCCAGTTTTTGCTTTCTATGCACTCACATCTGTTTAAAAGGACTTCTAGGCTGAGGCTTGCTTGTGTGGCATATTACATTCATGCCTGCAGAGGTGGCAGTGCCTATATAAACCATGATAGAACAGACTATAGGATGGTAATCCATCATCATGGCAATAGAGAATAAAATACTCCAATTACAAAATGCAAGGCACACAACAACTTTTGGATCATGCTACTTTAGTGTTCTTTTCCGTATTTTCCTTCATGTCCTTTTCCTATTTTCACTAAATTAAGGAAAGATGACCCAAATAGAATTTACAATATGGGCTCTTAATGCTGTTCTGGCAACTAAATTGGGAAATAATATGCCATCACTGTTGGGGAAAAAAATAGAGCTAGTTCTGCAATGTCTTGATTATTTTTTAAAAGGTATTCTTAATTACACGAATTTCTGCAGAAGCTGAGTCCATCCTAGTTCAAAGAATGTGTACTGGACCTCCAATTGTAATGTTTCTGCATAGCAAACACTGAATTTCAGCCTTTTTTTAATTTCATTTTATATTGAGAGAATGAATGTGACAACAGGCAGTTTCATCTGTTACCATAATGATATATCTGTGTTACTCACCCCACATATCAAGCGTGTCCCAGTTTAACTGTGACTAGAACTACTCACATGCTAAAAGTAAAGCATGTACTCAGGTTCTTGCTGGGTTAGTTATTGTAATAGGCAGTCTGATACATGCTGAATGAAACAACACGCTTGAGCAGCTGGTGAGGTTAGCAGCAGATAAATCATACTGATTTGAGTGGCTCCTTAAACACATTGTTGCTAGCATATGTGTGAGAAGCAGCTGTGCTCCTGCCTTCTACCTCTACCCTCCTAGAAGAGCCAGGACAATACTAAGGCTGGAACAGGGCTGTTCTGGAGTCAGGACCGATGTCTTGTGCTGTATGCCTGCTCCAAGCTCAGAAAAGTCCAAATGCAAATGTTCTGTTCTGTCAGACAATACCTTGGAGGATTTACCTTTACAGGAGATGAGATCATGATCCTAGATATAGTGCAATGAAAACTGAGTGCCTAAATACCTTGTCATAGGCTGGGTCATAAGCCCCAATTTCAGAGTGTTTAACTGAATAAGACTATTCAATGATGCACAATTTCACAAACAATTTTCTTGTCCTGCATTAGTAACATTTAAGTGCAAGAATTACCTGAAAATGCACCACATTCTGAAAAGATGATACTGAATAGTGATGTTCAGAATTCGTAGATACTGTTCTGATTTTATCACGTTATTTACACACTTCTGTAATTCTGTTAAGTCAGTGTCAGAAAGGAGGAAAAAGGGACATTTCTTTCCTTCCTCTTGCTTTTTATTTGTGTCCAAATTATAAACAGTCAATTCTTTATTTTTCTTTAATACTATTTTTCTTTTTTTTTTTTTAGATGTATTAAACCACACTTGAAATCATTTGCACTTGGTATCTATACCCTGGCAATAAGAGTGCTTGGTAAGTCCAGCTGTACTCTTGGGTATACCTTAATGTACACCTCACTAATTTTTTACCCTAGAATTAAACTTTCATTGTTGGAAGGAATGATGTCTGACAAGTTAATATTACATAATTAAGAAAAAAAAATAGGAAAAAGAAGCAGCTTTACATTTCATCAGTCATTTAGCTGTGTCTTACGTATAATAAAAATACACATGGACAATATTTGTAAAGGTGACAAGTAATCCTTTGGATTATGAAGCTAACATCAAAATTACTTGTTGTCTCTCCTTATTCAACAACAAGCATAACAGAACAGCTATGACTCAGAACCGGTGATAATTTTTCAGGCCTTTTTTTCTTTAGTTTCTAAGGGAATTAATATAAGTACAGGCATGTCTGAAAGCAGGGTTCACTACAGCCTTGTGGAGGAGCCACCTATAAGGTTTTTTCTAAAATCAAGGGTACCGTGATATGCCAGTGAACTGAAACTCTAAGATCATCAAGGTAATCATAGAAGAGGCAGTAATTAGCTAGAACCAAGTCACTTATTTAAATAGAGCAGAGGTGGATGAGCTGGATGAGGCAAATGAAAAAACATCAAATCAAGTTGTTGGCTTCTTTCTCACACCTTTGCAGGCCAGGATTTTCTCTCCAGGCTTACTTCTTTTGTCCTGCAACCATGGGTGGCTCCCCAAGTTGCACAAAGTCCACAGTGTCCCCATTAGCACCTGACAAGGTTTTCCCTTTCCATCATCCTGGAGCAGTGACGGAATACCCTTGCCTCAATAGCATCTCATGATACTTGCAGGATACTTGTAGCCCCACTGCAGGCTCTCAGAAATGCTGCCTCTCTCCCTTCTCATCCCTCACAACCAACACACAGGTCATCCTCCACCCCCAAGCTGAACAAGCTCTATTGCTCTCAAGAAAGAAGTATCTCCTTTCCCAAACACCCCCCCCCCAGAAGTCCTTTAGAGCAAGGAAGCCAAGCCACAGCCACCTCCTTCCGCTGACTTCCACATGCTTTTTGATGTTCAGCTCTGTTTCCTCCCCACCCTGATTCCCCACAGCGAGGAAAGGGTGGTGTACTCCTGGGCAATACGAGGCACGACTTCTTGAACCAGCAAACACTGTGGAAATTTCATGGCTGTTTGAATATGTTATTTGATGTTCTACATGAACATGTTTCTAGATCTGATCACCCTGGAAAGTAACCTTCTCACCTCTATTTATTTGCTAAATACACCCAGCGGGAATTCCAGCCCCAGTATATTTTGGAATGGCCATAGATACCACTTGCCTGAAATGGGGAAGCAAAAGATGTGGGGGAAGAGGAGCATGCAGACTCTATGACTCCAGTGCACTCAGGTAACAGCTCTTCTCCACTAGTTCTTTAATTTGTGTTCTTTATGTACATCTATATCTATCACTGGTAGGATAATTTTTGTTCAGAAAATCTGAGTAAAAGATTTGTTGCCAAATGAAGGAGTCTAACTAGCTGACTAGCAATATTAACAGTAATGATTAGATTTCAGCATTTTCTTTTTTAGTTTCTTTGAGGGAGGGGGACATTATCTTATCTCAATATCAGCCAGGGAGATTTAAGTCACCTGATTTTTCATCCCCAAAAATGTTAAAAATTCAAGTTATGCTAACTTTTCCCTCATTTTTGAACAACTCTGCTGTAAGAGTGCATACATGTAAGTAAATAAAAGAGCTATCGAGCCTCATTGTTGTTTCATGTTCCAAGAGGAAGGCAAGATTGCCACAAAGCATGCTCAGTTTATCTAGAGCCTTAAGCACAGTGTTGTCTTTATCAATTTATTGCTAGAAGAGAGTAATTATCTGAACTGCATTCATGAAAGACATTACCAGAAATGAAGAATGGAATAATAATAGTAAAAGGAAAATGAGAGAACTGGTTGCCCTTCCCTCCATATCCAGGAGAAAAATGTGAGGGGAGGGTACATCTTTTTTTGAAAATTTGAAGAAAGGAACAAAAGCTGGGACTCATAGCTAATAAAACATAATGATGTTATTGTTGCTGCTGTTGTTGTTATTGTCATTATGCCTGTAAAGCAAAAATGCCATCAAATGGTCTTTTTATCGCTAGTACTGTTTATGATGCAACTGAAAATTAGATTAATTGCCTTAAGGATATGTTCTTCTCACTGAAGCACATTGGGGTGGAGGAGATTAGCCAATGCCTGAGACCCTTTCTTGGCCACAGACCGCACCATACCTAACCTGGGTGAGCTGGCAAATTCTCATCTCCATGGTCATCACCTTGCTTGGAGAGCTTCATACTCAGCCTTTCCTCATGAAAATACGAATGTGTCCTCAATGCCTTCTAGTCGTATGTTGCCTTTGAAATAGGCTCTGATCGATCATTTCTCTCTCAGGTATGTGTACCTGGGACTGACTTTGGTGTTGGGCATGGTGTCCATTTTCTTCAGTGTTGCTGTCCTTTGGGTTCTCCGGAAAAGGTCTTCTGCGCAAGATGAGACCCTCTCAGCCAACGGGGAGAGAGGCACCTGTGGGACAAAGAGCAGGAAAGCTAATTTTGTCAATAGTGACCGTTTAATTCAGACATCTTACTGGCCAGAAAAGGAGACTAGACTTTAGAAAGACTGAGATCTGTCATGATTTTACCCAATCACTGATGTTCCAGGCAAAAATTCATCATCAGTGAAGCAGTATCTTAGTATCCACCCTGAAAACAGTCACCTTCATGTAATACTCATGTAAACACCAAACGCAAAGACAACCATTTTAGCATACGTATCGCTCTGAAAACACTGCTCACTGTCTGTCCTGCTGAGTCAGTACCAGTTAAGTGAAGGGATTTGTAATGGCTGCGAAGGTTCAGCTTTCGCCCCTGACAAGAAGCTGGTTCTATGGCTGCCCTTCATCTCAATCCCTTCTTATCAAGCTGCAACAGCTGCTGCTTCCCCTCAGCCTCTTCCTGTGTGTGAGGGGCAGTGGGGAGGCTGAAACACAGCTCTCTCCACCATGGTATCAGCACATGAAGAGCTGGTGTCCAAAACCTGACTTGGTAACCTGGAAGGTGCAGGGATATCCTGCACGTAGGTCACCCTTACAAGCAGTGCAGCATGGGGCAGGGGAAAGGTGGTTTGCTGGAAGGAGAAATCAGGTACAGGCTCTGGGCATCTCATGATGCATACATGATCCATAACATGTAGGATGTTAAATGTTGTAGTTAAGGATTCTTTTTCAAGTAGCTCTATTATTGCACAACAATCGCAGCAATGAAAGTTGTCATTGCAGTCAGAGAGATCACAAGAGTATCATTCAAAGGAAACTGGAATAAAACCAGAGCTTTTTTAGGTTTCCAGCAGTTTCTTGCTACTTGCTAGTACTCAGTGAACTGGATAATTCCATGCATTTTATACAATGTAATAACGCCATGATACAAGATACATATGATTTATTTTTTAAAAAGCTGTGACAAGTCATCTTGGGAACAATAAAAAGAATTCAAAGACCAGGTGATTTGGGGGTTTTCCTTTTAATTTGTATTTGCTAGCTGAATCTAAGACATGTATCATAGTATGAAGTTATGTATCATTTTTACAGTTTGACAATATTTGGTATTAAATAAATTTGGCATGGAGAGCACAATGGAGAGCTGTTTAACATGGAACAAAATCTCAAAAATGCTTGCACTGAAAAAGATAGTGACAACACCACTACAAATGATATCCTCTAAAGCAGCTAGAATTTTAAAGGACAAGATGAAATGTAGTCTTCACCCTTCATCATAATATTGGCAAAACAATCTTATATGACATCATTTGCATCTCAGCAGTGATTGTAGGTACCCTGCTATGTAGCTGAGCTTGCAGATCAAAGGCAGCTGTGGAGCCTCTTCTATGGGATGCATAGGAAGGGCAGATGTATAAGAAAAGGATTTACTGAAATTTATAAATGATAAATGTTTACAGTATTCCACTAGGGAACTACGTAATCCATTCAATAGGAATACCAAGAAGAAGGATGCTGTTTAAGCACCAAATGTGTGCAAAAGGTAAGGATTTAAAGCCACCACTTTGGAAAATGCAGTTGTCAGAGGAAGGACCAGTGCCACCCACCATTTCTCATGTGGGTGAGTGTTTAGACAGTGGCCTGGAATATTGGAGACCCAGTCCCCTATCTCAGCTCTTTGTCCGTCCAGATGACCGTTAGAGGCTACAGACGTACAGGGTATTGGTGTCTGGTCATTTTGCCTTGTGCAACTGGATATTGAACTAAACAAGTAAAATTAAAATAATAAGAATGTTTGTGAATATGGGACTAACTGAAGAATTATGGCTAAGGTTAATCACACAGATTGGCATTGCACTCTCTGGTCTCATTCATACTACATCATCATAAACCAGCAAAATATGCCAAACCACATCAGCATCCAGGAGTGAGATGCCTGGGAGGGCACTTTTCATAGCAATGAGCTGTCAGATCCAGTGAAAGTAAGGGGCAAGTACACACTAGGATAAAGAGGAGGGAAATCTGCATTTCACTCAATACTTGATGTTGTATGTTTGTCAAATAAATAGGGATGATTCCTAATTTGTGAATCAGTCTTGGCAGGTTTTATGGCAGGAGCACAGCACCATAGCAATGCTGAAGCTGTCACGAAGGCAGTTCTGCACATGTCTGGCAGTAAGATGACTAGGAAAACTCAGTGGCATACAGGACAAAAAAACAAATTAAGAGACATAAACTTATGCTAATCAAATTCAGAAAGAAACATGGGGAAAAAAAACAATTTATCACCTAAGCTTCTGTCTGTAAGTCTGTACCTAGTGAATAATTCTTTTAAAGCATGAGCTACCTTTCCATACTCTATTTTCTTTAAAAATGAAAGGAAGAGGAATACTATAAAACAAGAATACTATAAAAATTTGTTTTGGTAAGTCTTATTTTCATTATGGTTAAAAAAATTCACTCTTTTCCTCTCACCCTTCAGGAACAATAATACTGAAATTTACCAAGCAGGTATACTCCATTCCCACTTCGAAGTATTTTAAAGTCTTGTACTTTATTTTAATATTTCAAGTGGTAATGTGGATGCATGGATGAGTGTATGACTTGAGGCACATATTCTGAATTTGTTATAATAGATGAACAAATGGTCTTAGTACCAAGTGATTTGGACCTGTCAGGTTATTCCTATCAGAATTCTTCATCTCGAAATAAATCTGCAACTGGTAATGTCACACAAAGGTCAATGAATCTGGATTTTTTTTTCTTTTTAGAATTATAATTATTAAACCACAATAGAGAGATGGCAAAGAAGTAAATGCCTTTCATTTTCAAAGGTGAGATTGTTAAAAGAACTGGCTGAGATTTCCTAACCACTGATGGCATCCTTTGCGGCCACAGTGGGACTCACAACCTTGTTAAGAAATACTCACAGGCTGTATGCCATGTAAAAATGGTATCAATATATTTTCACCTTATAGCAAGGGCCCTAATTGGCACATATGGGAGAAAGCAAGGGTAGCAGCCCATGTCAGATAATGGGATGTGCAACCAGGCCTGAGCCACATGAGCCAGTGCACATTTTCTCTTCTCCTTCCCAGCAAAGAATGCAGTGCTCAAATTATATGTCTTATTTATGGGCAAATCATTTATAATCATGTCAGGAAAGTAGCACTGAGGAATTCTAACAAATGAAGAAAGCAAGAACACAAAGTCAGTAGACTGTGGAAACAATGCATTTGATCTATAGCTCAGGTCCTCCCAGCATTTGAAAGGAGCATCAGTACAGGGGGAAGCATCTTCAGGTCACAGGCAGCAGAGTAGCTACCCCATGCTTGTGCCACTGTGAAATTGCTATATATGAACCTGTGATCTGGGGGAATTGCAAAAGACAAGCAAAATGATATTAATGTATCAAAAAGAATGCACAGGCTGAATAATGATAGGCTGCCTCCTTGAAGTGCTCAAAATAATAAGATTGATGCATGAAACAACTACTGTGATATTTTTAAATAGAAGCATGATTAGTATCATCTGTGAGAAAACACTGACATCACTACTTTAGCTGTTGTGACTGTTGATGACACAACACAGTTCAACTGTTAAAAATATGCAACTTAGTTCTGCATGACAGTGAAAGAAAAAAATTAGTCCTCTCAAGAAGCTAGGAAGTGCACAGTCCATAGACTTGCAAGTAGCTAAGTCACAGGGGTATTTTAAAAGTATTTGTAGAGAACCATTATTGATAATCTTGAGAAATATGAAGAAAGTGAGCACACTTGTTTAACAGAAGGTGAGTATGGGAGGATATTGAAAACTAGCCTAAATGAATACATAAATGAATATTGAATGCAGCATAAACGAAAAGGAAAAGTTTCATCTCACCAATAGCAGAATTATGGGGATAGAAATTTGCACAGATTTAAATAGTGAATTGGTGAAGAGAAAAATCTTTTGAAGGCTCTTTAAAATATAAATACCCTCTCAGAAAGGCTCAGAAAAAAAAAATAGAGAAAAAGAAGAAAAAGAATAATCCCAAAAATAATCCCTGGAAAGTGAAAGAGCATATGAGAAAGCATGGTTATGTATAAGACTACAAGGATGACCAATAGCAAGAGACATTAGGACTGGCTGGTGTAGAAAGAAAGATAAAGAGAACTGTAAGTGGCATGAGAAGTGCTGCTAAGCATCAGTTGCTCACCACCTCTTCCAACACAAGAACCAGAAAGCACCAAACCGAGACAGTAGAGGGGGTTCAAAACAGAGGAGCTGTCTTTTCATACAACAGGTATGAGACCTGAGAAATACTTACAAAGAAATTTTGTATACATAGGTTTAAAGAGAGACAGGATAGTTACAGAAAAGTAAGAAAGTCATGTGGGTCCTGCCTTTGCCTCCTGGTTCTGCTCAAGATTTCTCTTGTATTTTGAAACTAATTGGCTACTGGGAAAGCAGTAGAGATTTCGTATGTGGTGCTAATTCACGCTTTCCCTAAGCATCCTCTATTGGTTACTGTCTGTCACGGCTTTGAGGGCACCAATGGTCTTGACCTGTCTCCCCAGGGTGGGACCCACGTCCACTTCTGCCCATGGGCTCCAGAGCCCCATTTCAGCTCCAGCCTGCACATTCAGTCCTGATGAGAGCCATTCTGGAGGTTTTCATGTGCTGCCCTCTCCCTTGCTCTTCCTGAATTATTGTCTGGGTTTCCAGGATTGTCCTAGGACTTGACTTCTTAATTTGCCTTTGGCTGATGGCCATTGGCCTGAGACTGGGACCAGTAGATGTTGCTGTCTCAGATCTGCTGACTCTGATCAGGGGTGTTGGTGCACAGCTTGACCTGGGGTTGGCCCTCAGATACCATCTTGTGCCTCCTTGTAAAGCAGCCTCAGTCAGCAAAAGCTTTTGGGATACAGGCGTCATGGGTCTGACAGGCTGGTTGTCCTGTCTTATACCCTGGAGCATTGCTAAGCAAGTACTGCATGACGTAGTTCTTCATTCAGTGCTAATCAATCTCTGGAAGAAAGAAAGTCTGTAGTTTCTGTAAAAGTTATGAGAGCAATTTAAAGGTGGGGCCCTTTTTTAGATTTAGAGTACTCATTAAAATGACCTTACTTTGGCAATATTGGGTTAAGATCATCAAGAAGTTGGTTAACCACCAGGTCTTCATAGATTAATACATCTTATTGAATTTTGAAGAGAGTAAATAAGGAAAGGATTTAGAGGAGAGCAAGCAGAACACATTTTCACAGCTTGATGGTGACCAGGTCAGGAAACTTTCTCTCATGGCTGTTGAGCAAGGTAACTTTTTGAAAGGTTGTTGTACATGGTGATAGCCTGAACCCTCTCCTTGATCCCATGATGTTGGCAAGTGTAAAAGAAAATGCTGAGGACTTGCTTAGGAAAAAAAAACCCTGTGAAAGTGTTATGCAGTCAGCAAAAATTTCTTTATTTAATTCTGCAGACAAAAGTAGACTGTTTCAGTGCCTGGAAATCAAACAGAACAAAACTTCATTAGAAATAAGATCATTTTTCTCACTAGAACAAATGTCTTGGGAATGTTATAGATTTTTCTGTCAAATCAAGACTTGACCATTCTTGTAGAAGATCTGCTCTACTGTAATAAGACAGATGAACAGCTTAGTGAAGTTGTGCTGTATATAATGCCAGGTATTCAATTATAGAATCACTGAACAGTTTGGGTTGGAAGAGACCTTGAAGCTCATCTAGTTCCAACCCCCTGCCATGTGCAAGGACACATCCCGCTAGACCCATCAAACCTGTCTTTGAACACTTTCAGGGATGGGGCAGCAACAGCTTCTCTGGGCAACCTGTTCCTGTGTCTCACCACCCTCACAGTGAAGAATTTCTTCCTAATATCTAATCTAAATCTACCTTCTTTCAGCTTAAAGCCCTCATCCCTTGTACTATCCCTACATGCCCTTGCAAAAAGCTCCTCTCCAGCTTTCTTGTAGGCCCCCTTTAGGTACTGGAAGGTTGCTGTAA